TGTTTAAAATTAGTTCTCCTGTGTTTTACAGCGCAATATTTATATTTCCGAGGTGGTGCCTGTCCCTAGCCCATATTTATGCAACAAGATCGGCGCTAAAATTTCGTTTCACTACCCCTTTAAGCACACCATGGAACTTGTTATTGGCCCCGAACGCGAATTCAAATATTAGTCAACGGATTGATTGTTGACGAGCGCATGCGTTCATTTGACGCAGTGCTCGTGTCCACCGCGGTTCTTTCGCTCGGCTAGGACAACTTTCGTTTTCGGTAGAAAGCCATACTTTACGTGAAGGCCACGTGACATTGGTGGCCAAGTCCGGTCGAGTCGAGAAGGGAAGCAGACGTGAGTTTTTATCTTTTTTTTGTGTGCAAAACTGGAGGCAATAAAACGAGAACGGATTCCTGCTCCGGGTTCTATGAATATTGAAGATTAATATACCTTTTTGGAAAATCACAAGAGACCTCTCAACGAGGGAACATGTGGGGCTGTTGGGATGTATGCTGGTGCCGGTTCGAACGCTTCGTATTGGCGGCGAGATGTTTTGGTGGCGTCCTCCTATGGTTTCCCCTTGTGACGTCATTACATTGCGAACAACAAGTTTGATGGTGTTTGTAATTAGCATGCTGGAAACTTGAAATCATTGCGCTCTGAAAGCAACGCTGCCAACACCGTCAAAATTGAAGCTTTTACGTTAGTCTTATTTCCGTCAATGAGAAATCCTTTGCTGACGTCATATTCAGCATTCGGCCAATCGTGGTAGGCCGATCAGAGCGACGCTATCGATCGCTCACGTCGCCAATATACTGGTTGCGGCACGATTCATTCTTCCTTATCGTTAACATTAAAAATTAAGCGAACGGAAAAGAAGGTTACCACATACTCTGTTTGTTTTGCTTTCCTTCCGGCTTCACTGCGTTCCGAAATCACGAACTGTTAAAACAACGTCAACTTCGTCTTCGCTTCTTGGATAGTTTCAGGTGCCGTACATCTGATCGTCACAATGCGTAAAGCAGAAGCTAGGGGTACCACATATTTCTGGAAAAGCTTATTGGGGACTTCATTTGGAAAAAGCTGGAAAATCATTCAATGGTCCTTTAAGCATCATTCGCAAACTGAAGGCCCGTTCACAGGGTTGCGTTTGACTGCGTTTAGACTGCTTGCGTCGAGCTGTTGCAATGGCGACCCTTATGCCGAGCCAATGGGGAGGGGCTGTGCTGCACGACGCAACGAAGCACAAGTCAACGCCACTGTGTGAACAAGCCTTTCCGTCCCAAGAGGTTGCAAGATATCCGATAGGAAGCAGTCACAAGTGTGTGAGCCAGTCTTTATGCTGTCGAATGTCGCAATCCTGGCAGTTGATTGTAAAAAACAAAGCCGTCGAAAATAGCAAACGGACGCAAGGGATCGCTGTCGTCGAGGCGACCCTTCTCGTGTATTTTGTAGCCTCTGTCGACTGTAGGGATGCAGAACAAACTGCTGTGCCACCGCCAGGATCGCGACAGAAAACATCAGTGATGGGGCGAAACTCCGGAGGTTCGGTTTCTGACTGTTTCGGAAGATTTCAACGCTATCCCGGGAACGCCGGCGCTTGAACCGAACACCACACAAGTTGTCCAGCTATTGATGCGATAAAAACGAGCGTTGTGATTTGTGATAATCGGCTCCCCCTACCTGCATGATTGTCTTGGTCACGTGATGATGTGAATGGGAGTTGTGAAATCGAAACCATTTTTGTCAACGACGCAAAATCTCAATATTTTGTGTCATGCTGCCCGTTATTTTATTTCTCCGTATATCGGATTTTATCTCAAGAAGCCTATTTTGTTATATTGAGTATCTATATTTATTTTATTATTTAATGTGGCTTATGAGATCGTTTTGTTAAAAACGTTGCAACACTCAATAATGTGGTCTGGCCACTCTGGAAACGCTCCGAAACTATCCTAACCTATCTGAAATACACCAAGGTTCGTCCGTTCTTCCGAAAGTTTCCGAAATGCCTGTTTTCGGTCCGAAACCTGTTTCAAAATACGTGTCGTCCCATCACTGCCTTTAACCATTACACTAAAATTATGACGATATCAGGCGAAAACAGACGATAACAAATGCCCATGCGGTCGACACACCACACAGTAAACTTCAAAACACCTATAATGGTGTTTGGAAGGTGTTTCATACCGAATACATCTTTTCAGAGCGCTATATTTATTTTTACAAGAAGTGTAATGTTTTGATACACCTACTGAGCGTGTGAGAGAGGTGTTTGTACACCTTTTGGCGGCTTCGGAAAGGTGTTCAGGAAATATTACACCTTTTACGGAGGAGAATGTGCTTCCGCCTGAAAACACCTTTTTTTTTTTTAAAAGTTTGTCGGAACAGATTATTGAAATAATAGGCCGGTGTCATACTGGGCTCTGAGTATAAGACATGTTTTTGGGAGCGTCGGGGGAGAGGGGCGGAGACCAATCGGTTAGTGCGACCGCATGAAAGGTGGAGGTCTATGTAAAGAAAAAAAAAAAATTAGAAGTGGCTACTATTTCTCGTGGTTTCGGTTGGGGCCTCTAAACCGCGGAGACATCCCATCGTTATTGCTACCGTGCACAAAACTGGATGCCGGCTCAGCTCTGCGACGTGAACCCGGGTCACTTCGAGAGGTCGGTGTTCCTCAACGAGAACGAGGTTGGAAGCAGAGCGCGTCATGTTGAAAAATATTGTTCATCAGCCCCTGATGTCTAGGGACATTGGTGGAAGGACAAGATTGGAAGAGAGTCAAAGAATATTGTAGGGAACTTTTGAGGAGTAAAGTAATTATTAGGGGGGTGCCAACACTCTTGGGATTTGTATCTTTGTGGACAGGAAATGATTCGAGAGAGAAAAACGCAGAGCACATAAGAAGCAAGAAAGGAGACATCAAGAAAATCGGTAAAGACCACGAAATACTAATCATAGGAGATATGAATTCTCACTTGAAATAATTTTATGGTTTCACAGATGCGGCAGGAAGAATATTACAGTAGTTATGCGAGGCCTTAGATCTGGTATTGGTAAATGCACAAATCAAATGTGAGGAAAAAGTAAGATGGGAGAGCATAAACTATTAACCGACAATGAACTACTGTATAACGTCGCACAAATTGTATAACAGAATAGGTTGCATGGGAATAGACGAAGAAGGAATGAAAAGCTCAGGGAGTGACCGTAAGCGAATTAAGGTTAAATTTGGTAGGACACGGCAAGAACCAGAAGCACAAAGCAAGGAGACACGATAGGTTTTAGTGACACACAACTGAAGGAAATATAAAAAAAAAACGAGTTGAGCACACAGTAGCCACGCAAGCAGAGAAAGAGTGGTCGTACAATGATTTAGTAAAAATATTCAGAAAGGGGTTGGAACGAAACCACGCCAGATTTATGTACAAATGCAAACACAGGCCAAAAAGCTGGTGGGATAAGGAAGCCAAATCAACCATAAATCAGAGACAAGAGGCATCCTGGGAGCATCAGACGAGCAAAAAAGAGGGGTACTTCCGCAGAGGAAATATGGGAAAAATGGAAGGACTTCCAGGACTTCACGGCACCGGAGGCGATGAGTTCAAGCTTCCACCGTGCTTCTCAACCACGCCATGGAACTTGTTATTCTCAAGTGATGAGAAGTGCCGTCACAGCACTCACTGGCCACGAACTCGAATTCAAATATTCGTCGACAGATTGATTGTTGACGAGCGCATGCGTCCGAGTTACACAGTGCTCAAGTCCAATGCGTGAGCTGGGTTCGGCTGATGTGCTTTGGCACCGCGGGTGCATCACAGTGAAAGGGCGGGAAACTTTCAAAGGAAAGGAGGTACGAGATAGTTCGCTATGCAAACATTTTCGTACCGAAAAGCAGGCTTTTGGGCTTTCTAAGCTCGTGCACTAGTTTTATTTTGGTGCACTAAACAATATGCGATTCGTAAAATCCCAATTTATCACAGTCGAAAAATCATTTCATGGCCCCTTTAACTCTTCCGTGCAGTGCAACATATGTACTGTCAAAATTTAATGGATCAAATAACCTTGGGTTCTCCCAAATATTTCGGCAACCTTGACTGACAAAGCAAACACCTTAATGAAACTGTTTTTTTTTTTTTTTTTTTTTAAGGAAAGTGAAAGTATATGTATGATGCTTTGAATGTTGTTACTTTTCTTTGTAGGACCATACATTTCTCTGTTGTATCGACTTTTTCTCTTTTAGAAAGCAAACACAAACAGCTTTATAGAGCGATTCAGCGGCATACGACTCTTTGTCTTTGCACGTTACTTCTATCGTTAGTCATGAATGAAGAAAGACTGAAACAATTAAAACAGGGCCAACACAACCACATCTATCGTTAGAGCGCTCTCTAGCAACGAAAAACATTAACTGTCATGTGTAGCTCAAGTGCTCTCCAAGGCTGCGTGTAACTGCTTTCTAAAAGAATTGACACACCAGAGAAATGTAGGCCCCTATAATGAAGGAAGACAACATTGCTTCAAGGGGTGTAACAAAACCCTATGAAAAGGTGCGAGTTATAGACATTCGGATAAATTGCGGATAACACATATATACCGTATTTACTCGAGTGATAGCCACACTATTTATGAACAAGGCCCTTGAGTCTACTTTCCAACAGAACACATATACAGCCAATCATTGCGTTGCGTATAAGTAACATAGCGAATAACCAGATCGAGAACACTATCCTACATACAAATGCAATTTTCACAGATGGTATCTTCGCACGAAGACGTTATCTCTGTCCTGTTAGCAGCTGGAACCATGCTGTTGATCGCGAAAATTGACAATCTGCGTGCTCTGCGGAAAAGCGAACCCTCAGGTTTTCTTCATAAACAGTGCGGCTATAACTCGAGTAAATAAGGCAGGTGTTTTGAATACTGCTGTGGCATCTGGAGCCGTGTTTTCAGACACCGTAGTCCTTTCCGAAGAAGTTGGTCATCGGCTGGACTTGTCGGACACGTACCCGAGCTCCGGGCAGGACTCCGTGAGGAGGATGACGCAGTCCAGGCATCCTTTGGCGGCCGCGTAGTGCAGGGCCAGGGCACCCGTGCGCGACTGCAGCGCCGCCACCGTCGGAGCCATGGCTCCACCCAGCAGCAACCAGCGCACCACTCGCCAACGACCGTGCCTGCGAAGACAAGCAGACGGGTCACTGTAGAACTCACACATTCGCGCATCTCAGTCGCTCTCCCGTTTTCTGCCTCCACGAAACACCGGGGTCACACTGCTCATACATTCTATCAAAAGACAGTCTGCAAACAGGAGTCACCGAAATATCCGTGGTTCGAATGCCGGATTTCAAGTTTCCTCCTTAAACTCATTGCCACGCGGCATTCGAAGCACGGACCCCGCGGTGATTCGCGTTCGAGTCTGTATGCAGACTGTCTTCTGTACGATGTCGTATAAGCAGTGTGACTGGAGGTCTGTTTCTTGTACGGTGTTTTACCAGTGTGACTGGGGCTTATCGTGGGATCCCACTGCGCACAGGTGGGCACGGAGCGCCACTTTCAGAGATCGTTTCCAAACTCCGGTATTATGTACTCCGTGTCTCTTCGAGTCCTATCGCAGCCAACGCTATAGGATTTAATGGAACCGATTGATCAGAGACAAAAGTGCGTCGTCACGGCGCTCATTGTCTTTGCGCGTTTGCTAACCAAGCCTCGAATAATAGCCAACGATGCACCCCCCCCCCCTTTTTTCCCCTGTCCATGGCATCAGTAAACGCACCCTGAACCTGAATCGCCGACCGAACGAATTAGGCACAGTCAGCATAGTGCAACATATTAACACGTGGAGTATAGTGCGACGCTAGCTAGAATAATCGACGCTCGTACGCAAGGATTCTGAAGTCATCGGAGGGATATGAGCGCAGACGCAGATTGGACACGAGACAGCTGCGTCGGCGATCGGCTGGTCCTCGTGTCCAATCCGGGCGTTGGAGGACGCTTGGCGTCGGGCTCGGGTTCAGTCAGCCTGGCGATGCTGAATTCATTCAGTTAGCTAACCTAAAACATCGCGTCATCCTGCGCGACCTAAGACATAATCAGCCCCGGATAATTCGTCTATCGCGTACTAACTACATTGATCGGACGCATCATTTCAATTTGTCTACGTACAAAGTGTTTAGATGGACACTTTCAAGCACTGTCGCATAAAGGATTATTGGGTATGATTATGACTCCGTGACGTTTTAATGCTATCGTTTTTGTCGTGTAATTTTAGCGTGTTATTTTGTTATCTGATATGCTATATCTTCGTCTTCAAATGTAGGGCAGGGCGTCTTCGGGTATTTTCTGCGCTTAAATTATTCATTACATCTAGTATTCGTATATTAGTGTAATATCATTATATTATATGCACATTTTTATTAATTGTTTTTCTTCTGTCACGAACTGCATGCGCGGGGGCTGGGACCTTCGTCAAGCTGCTACTCAGCAGCTTATGGTTCGAGTCGCCTGTCGTAATATAAGATGACGGGACAACAAATAATTTTATTTGATTTGATCTGATTTGATCTGAATTGCCGAGAAGGCGTCATTGCAGTGTGATGAGGTAACGGGGAGGTATATGGGAGGCTGTTCACGAGCTTTGATTATTCAACGTGTTGTTGACTAACGCTTGACGACTCTGAAAAATTTATGAAAGTCCACCCTCAAAAAAATTTCCCCGTCAACATTCCTACAGAGTGTGAGGCCTGCTAGCTAATCATTGCGTCACATACAGGAAATGTAGGGAAATACGAGATCAAAGCGTTTTATGTCACAGAGAAACATAATCCGCGCTGCGAAACCACTATCTTCCTTTGTTTTTTCCCCACTTGAGTCCAAAGCAGCGAACTACCCCTGTAAATCCAAACCACGAACTTTTTTCTTTTAATTTTTTTTATGTTTGTGTCCAGCGGAACTGAAGTTATGTGACCCGTTAGAGGCAAAAAAATTGGCTTGCTCTTTATGTTTATACAGCCTTGATGGAGATGCGCCTCAACGGGTAATCGGTCTCTTAGCTGTAGATGAGAAATTTAGCCAGTGCGGTACAACCGCTAACCTGGGATTTCTAACGCAGTAGTGATCACACGAACGCGTGCCGGTACGAAACTCATCCAGATCGAAACGGGCGGGGGCGGCGGGGATCGAACCCAGGAGGTTCCCAGCGCAAGCTTTCGCTCCACGCTCCGAGCTGAGACGCGTTAGCCCACTCGGCCACTTCCTCCCTTCCGTTAGAGGCAAAAGTTGGAAGCAGTGGTCAATACTTTGGCCAATTAATTTGAAGCGAAGTGTGAAGCGTCGTGTTAAGTTTTCCTGAGCGCATCAGACGCTTAACAAATACGGAGGCATCAGGCCATCTTTTTATCAGTATTGTATTTTGAGAACACACATCTAAAAATGCTTGTCACCACACTTTGCAACAGATCACGCGTGAAACCAACTAATTTTTCGGTCCCAAAATGTACCATGAGTGTTAATTTATGCCTAGCATTTATTTGTTGGACGTTTCGTTGACGACGATTTTAGGAAACCATAAGCGGAAGGCGTTTTTTTTATAATTGTTTCAGTCTAAAAAGTTCGGTCAGCGAATCACGCACTAAGCTGTTTTAGGAGTGAGAACCCGGTGAAGGAAAATAGTCACTGCTGCGGTACGCAAAAGTGCAACAACAAACAATAGCTTTAATTAATAAAAGCGACAGCTCATTAGCCCACCATATTCACGACTCCAGCGAACTATAAGGGGCGCGCTGGTCAGGCAAAATGGCGGACGAAAGGAAGTCATTTTCGCCGTTCAGCACGCGGACCACTATAAATTGCTTGCACTGCAGCGTAAAGTCGGTGTTAGATATGAAAGCAAAGCGATTTTTCGACGGTAGAAACCTTCTTTTAGTCAGTGCGCAGGAATGACACGGCGGAAGATGAAATATAATGACTGGAAACGACGTTTGTTTCAATGCTACCTACGAGAACCAAGAAGTGATAGCCGCCGGCAGAGTTGAAACGACCTTTTCTCTTGAGCTTCGCGGCGTTGCCGCTACGCGGCGTCGATTTCGCTGCAGTTGCCAATATAACGAAAAAAATAAGTGAGAAACAAAAGAAGAATACGATACGCGTCGCTAATTTCTATCGCTTAATTAATTCGAGGTAGTACATGGCAGGCTCGATATACTCCAGAAAAAAGGAGACACAGCACGCTAGCTCGGATACATTCGGACAATTGAACAGAGGTTTACCCTGCCAAACCGGGCTACTGGACGGCCAGATCTCCAAGCCGAACAAAAGGTTTATACAGTTCAAGCCTGCACTGTCTTATTACCGGCCCCTTAAAACGAAGGCGGCGAGCTGAGCGTGCTCCGCGTCGGTTCCACCCAACGCAACTGAGACCTCTTTGCGGAAGGCGCCGGCGCTCCTCGGACAAACAAGTTTCTAGGGCGGTACGGAATTTCCGTGATAGATACACGTCGTGAAGGCTATAGCTCCGACTGGACGCTTATTCTGAAGAAGAAAAAAGAAAGAAACCATCGTAGAAATTAAAAAAAAAGTAGTAGAGATATAACGTTTTATAGCACAAAAAGGAAAGGACCGAACAAGGAACTGGATTATGCGTTTCGTATTTGCATGTGGACGCCTCTGCCTTTGCGTGACAAACTGATTACACCTTAGGTTTTACTTCCTTTTTAATCATACGAGCTGAAGCGCTTTTTTCAAGTATAACCTTCTCAGCTCGAAAGCAAAAGAAAGACACCGCCAAGGAGATTAATGGAGGCGTTTTACTGAGACATTCATTTCTTGTTTAAGCCCTCGCAATTTTTTATGACATCCGTTTCAAAACAACTTTTGTCATGTTTGATTCTGTCGGTTCGGTCGGGCAACACTACCTTTTCTGGGGTGTAAAACACACTTCTTACAAATTACTGTGTACATTCTCTTCACGGAATATTTTATCTTTAAAACACACACACACACACACACACACACACACGCACACGCACACGCACACGCACACGCACGCACACACACACACGCGCGCGCGCACGGACACACACACATACCTACATACACAACATACAGTGGTTTTTGAACAACGCAACTGGGAACGGTTACCAAGTCGTTCAATCGTAATTTGGCGCTCTTTAGCATCTTTTATGAAGCCGCGATCGCCAACATTTTGTCGGATTATATGAATTGACGGTGGATTCCTGACTATAGCAACTGTTTACATGCTTATTTCTTGTGCGCTCCGATAAATACGTTTTTCAGTGCCATAAATGGTTCTTTTCCTCTCGGAGTCGTTACAAAAATAAACTAAAAAGGAAGCTATATACGCCGCTTTTTCGTGCCATCAAATAATCTAGGAAAGGAACGGGCGGCACATTAAACCAGAATATTAGTATAGTCCCTGGGCAGCGTAATAAATGTATGGCGATGGGATATTCGATCACCTTACTAGGGCTCGTCAGTCAATGAAATTGCGGGATCAGGCAGTTATAGCACTGAGTGGGTAATAAGTACAAAGAAGAAAAAAAAAAAACGAAAAGTACGAAGAACGAATTGCTTAATAATTTCCCCGCCAAATCTATCTGGAAAATTAATAAACAATGTTTTTTTTTCGCTCTCCGAATTTGTATCATTAATTATTTTCATTTATTTGACCTTTAAATGCTTACAAACGGATTTACATAAAGGGGGGGGGGGGGGGGTTGCAGATTTTAGTTACGAAATAAGACAATATAAAATACACGCTAGGTTACATTTTCAGACCTTGCCCACCCAAGCGTGTAGGTGTAGAAACGAGAGCCTATAGTGTCACCAGTTCTTCACTCGAAGCAATAAAACGAAACCGAGACCATCGCTGAGGCTCCCAGCAGTAAACATATAAAATCATCATGTGTCTGTTTAATGTCTTCGAAACGAGTTTAAACTATCGCTCTTTAAGCACCGCATTCCGTGCGTCGTAGGACTTCGAAAATAAAAAGCTGCAGATAGTTTTTGTTCGTTTATTTGTATTTATTTATTATTTTTTGCTCTTCAAGTATCCGGGTTTGCGCAGCTCGTGAAAGTCGAGGCCCATCGCCTTTTGTCGGGGCGTCCACCCGAGATCGTTGCGGTATTCTATTGTGTCTCCGGAGCACGCGCG